TGATCAAATTGGTGTCTGAACTGTTTTCAGTCCAAACTGGACAAGCAACAGGAAACTTGCCAAACAATGCTCTTATCGGCAAGCTGTTTGGTTCTAGCTGTTTAAACTCTGGCAATACCACAGTATATATTCTGGGGGTCCTCAAGCCTTTGCTCTTGCCAATTTGCACCTAATACTTTCTGGAATTAAGTAAGCAGGAATGCTTCCCTCCAGGGAGAGACTATGCACTCCATTCCAGACACAGGGAAATAATCATGTGTAGTTGGCATGCAATTGTGGAACTGTCTGGTTTGTATACTCTTAAGCATTACAATGGGTTTCTTCATGTGTCAGCCACCTAGCTGACCAAACAAAGAATTAATGCACTCAGTGTTGTTCAGTGATTGATCTCCCAGTACTCAGAGCACCACTTGCTGATTCTTGGTTTCTTGTCTAAACCAAGAACATATTGGGCATGTTTGGGATTTTCCTTTTGAAACAAGTTTTGAAGATTTTGTTCTTTAAGGAATGATCTAACTCAGTAAATTGAGGCAAAGGACCTTCAATAATAATAATACTTGTATTTGATACAGTGCCTTATCACATCTTCAAGACATCTCAAAGTGCTTCACAGATTATATTGTAAAGTGTAGTGATTGTATATTTTGTGGGCCAAGCGTGGCAGCCAAATTGTCGTTATTTTATTTATTTTTAAGGGATTATTACCCCCAGAAAAGCAATCTGCCAACAGCCGGGTTCCAACTTACTGCTTGGTAAACAGAAGGGCAACAAAACTTGCCTAATGTTTCGCCCTGCTTGAAAATCGAATCCAGGTCCTCTCGCTTGTGGGGCAAGTGCTCTGAGAATTACTCTAAAGGATTCCACATGGAAGGAAGGATGTGAGAAGTTGAGGCTTCATTTTGCATCTTGCAGTGATTACTTTTGCTTGCCTGCTTTATACTGGTTCTACCTCGACAAGTTTGGGACAGCTTTGACCTAGAGTAGTGGTGGACCTCCCCCAAAAAAATTCTTGATTGAATATTTCTTGATTTTTGCTATATCAAAAAACATTCAAGAAAAAAACTGATTCACACTACCACAGACTTACCTAGACTTGTGCAAATGTTTGGGGGTGGGGGTTTGCTTCTTGACTACCATTAACCTAGAGCTAACTTGGATTTTTTATTGTATTAATTGGGAATTAAATTTCAATAGACTGTCCTTGGACTTGCTGCTATAACTGGGTCAATTTCTAACATGAAGGCCCAGCTCGTCAACTGCCAGGCAGTTATTTTCACAGTTGCGTACTGCAACAGCAACAACTTGGATTTATACAGCCTCCACACCGGACGGCATCTCAGAGCGCTTCACAGTAACGGATCCCAGGGCCGAGCCAGGGGGAGGGGGCAGAAGGTGACCAAAGGCGTGGTCAAAAAGAAAGGTCTTCAGCCGAGACCTGAAAATAGGAAGAGAGGGGGCGAGGCGAAGGGAGTGAGGGAGGGAGTTCCAGAGCCTCGGGGTTTAGTGGCTGAAGGCATACATATTGATATAGCAGTACTGTCCTAAATACATTGAACGTGGATGTAGAAAATGGATCACCCTCCCCTTATCACAAGAGGGAAGTCTGTCTGCAAAATGTGCACCATAGTTTAGTGGGCTTTGAAAAGAAGGACGACTTTAATTCAGATTCTTTGGCTGTTGGTGTAGGCATGCTGAACTAATTGTAAGGGCTTCATCTCTTCCAGGTACAGATTATTCTTTACAGCTGTTGCTGGTTATAAAACCAGCATGCATTGTCAATCATATTGTATGTGCAAAGGTTACAGAGAAACTGTACGTTTATGAAACTCAGTATTGTAATGCAGCATTTTATTGATCTGTTCAACATTTTTTCATATTATTTAATTTATTTACAGTTTAAAAAAAATTGGTTTCTCAATCCATGACTGTTACTGAGATGCTGCTGTGTTTCGCCCACAAAATATACAGTCAATTCACTTTACAGTGTAAGGCACTATATCAAATGCAAGGATTATTATGAACAAGAGCAGATTTTCCCTTCTGATTTTCAGTGGAGTCCTGTAGCTCAGTGCTGAGAGCACTCGCTTTGCAAGCGAGAGACCTGAGTTCAATTCCAGGCAGAGGGCGAAACCTTGGGCAAGTTTCCTTACTCCACACAGAGCCTAATAATAATCCCTCCAAAACTAAACAATAATAAATTGGTCATTTTCAATCTATGACTGTTTGTGGGACATTGCTGTGCGCAATTGGCTGCCGCGTTCGCCCACAAATATACAGTCAATTCACTTTACAGTGTTTTCTGTGAAGCGCTTTGGGACGTCCTCCTGACGTGAAAAGCGCTATATCAAATGCAAGGATTATTATTATTTATTATATTATTGGGGAAGCTATTTGGCCTCTAAACATCTTCGGGTCCTGGTCAACAATCCCTTAAATAAAATTGGTCAGACACTCCATGGCTGTTTGTGGGAAATTGCTCTGTGCAAATTAGCTGCCACACTCACCCACACAGTTACTCCTGTGAAGTGCTTTGAGACCATTCATTGACGTGATAAGGCACAATATCAAATGCAAGATTTATATCTTCCAGTGATGGTCAGAATTTTTTGAGAAATAGCAGGCAATTTGCGCACACTGAACAATGTCCCACAACCAGCCATGAAATGAAGAGCCAATTTTACCTGGAGGATTGTTGGTCAGAACACTGGGGAAAAACTCATTTTCTTTTCAAGTATAGGAAGTGCCATGGGTTCTTTAACATCCACCGAAACAACTTGGTTTAACGTCTCAACTAAAGGACAGCACCTCTAACGATACACTTTTTAATAGTAGTCCAGCCTGGTCACCAATATGATTGACTATGCCTTTGGTCATGTTTCCCCCTTGGCCCCAACCCCTCCCCCCAAATCCAACCCCAAGTTTGTGAGCAAACCCTCTATTGACAAACAGCTTGGAACGTCCTCCTGATGTGAAAGGTGTTATATAAATGCAATTTGTTGTTGTAGATATTGCTTCATACTTGTTTTGCTATCCTTAAGCGCTACGGGAAGCTACCCTGCCTGAGGGGCTCTATATAAACACAAGTTGTTGTTCATTGAATATGGGAGCTTGAAATCTGTTCCTTGGGTGCTCTGTAGCCCCTACTTAAATTAAAACGAGTATCTACTTTGTAAGATGTATGATGAGAGAATTCTGGCAGCTAAAAGCTGAGATCCTCTTATAATTTAAAATGACAAAATTCCTGGTAGAAGATACATTCATAAATGTATTTCCAGGTATTTGGGGAGTACTTTAACTGACGCTGCTTGCAAGTGTTAGAAGAAAACTGTAATGTTCCTATGGGAACGATGTTGTGAGCTTGCTTAGTTTTTTTAAAACAAATAATCGTGTGAAATTACTTGCATCTTATGCAATACCATGTTTTATTGGACCAGGCACAGTTTCATTTAGAATGTTTTTTTTGAGTGTTTGCGACTGATTCATACTCTTGGTAGTACCTTTCTATTTGCCTAGGTTCTGTTTTTGCTGTGATATTTTATGACGACCTGGAGTGTAATAAAGTTGGCTGAATTAATGGTGAACATTACATTTGTCCAAGTTACAACTGGGTATCAGGTGGCTAGTGAACTGGAGCAGGACCAGATAATGACATCTGAAATGTGGCTCCATCTGTGGAATAAGTAAGGCATTCTGGAGTTCTAGCACAGCTGTCGCATACTTTGTGCATGATCTAAACGTGACATTGCCAGCTCCTTGTGTATTTTGCGTTTCCTGTGTCTATTTTATTCCCAAGTACAATTCCCAATTGCAGAATTTCGTAAGTAAACATTAAAGTAACGTAATGGGTTGATACTGTGACGTGATTTCTCACTGTACTTTTTAGATGCCAATAGGCTTTTTAAAGTGCTCTGAGACGCCGTCTGGCATGGAGGGTGCTATATAAATCCAAGTTGTTGTTGTTTTGAACAGTTATGAGATAGGTTTAAGTCTTTGTAAATAAGATGTGTCTCAAGTTTGTCAAAATGTGACTGAAATCTGTATTTTGCTTAAGTTTAATGGTTGAGTGGCTCACGTGGAACTTGAGGAAAATACATCTTTCAAGAGAATGAATTCTGTGACATGTTTTGAGACTTCCAATGTTAAAAGGAGCTATATTGAATAAGTGGATGATTATTATCATTAGTTTCCTGGAATAGAGGAAGGTAAAGGAATGACAGTGGAATATTTAAGAAGCACCTTTCAAAGAAATATTCTGGTAAGGGAGATTTTTAGAGCATGTAATACTTAAATTATAATAAAATAATCCTTCCAGTTGATAACGAGCCTTTCACATGAGGACATTTCAAAGCACTTCACAAGACTTGCTGTAAAATGTAGTTACTGTGTATTGTAGGCAAACAATTACTTCATCATGATTATACTAATTTGAAAACAATAATGTCCCACAAACGACTATGAAGTGATTGCTCAATTTTATTTGTTGGCCAGGACAAACATTTTTCTATTTCCATGAACTCTTTTACATCCACCTGAATAAACAGACGAGACCTCAATTTAATCTCATTAGAAAGACAAAAGATGAAACCTTGGTCAAGTTTCCTTACTTCACATGCCTAATAATAATCCCTCCAAAAAAACAAAACAATAATAAATTGGTCATTTTCAATCCACGACTGTTTGTGGGACACTGCTGTGCGCTGCCACGTTTCGCCCACAAATATACAATCAATTCACTTGAGAGCATATTCTGTGAAGCGCTTTGAGACGTCGAGAAGATGCGAAAAACGCTATCAAATGCAAGGATTATTATTATAACACCTCCAACAATACAGCACACCCCCAGCACTTCATCAAAACTGAACCCCTAATCTTCTGACTCAGTGGCAAGAATGCTACCAGCTGAGCCAGCCAGGCTCACACCTATTAATGCTGTTATCTGTTTTTAAGAAGGTTCCTGAATTAGAACATTTAGTAAACTAACGTATTTGGTTAACCAACAGGCAAATGCACTAAAGCGACAGGAAAGAATGATTAAAAATCGGGAATCGGCTTGCGTATCTCGGAGGAGGAAGAAGGAGTACTTGGTGAAATTGGAAAACAGACTGAGATCAGCATTGGCTGAAAATGTAAAACTTAAAGATGAAAATGGCTTGCTTCAAAAGCAGCTTCAGCAACTGATTTCTGAGGTAATCAAAATTAATACTTGAGAAAGGTGCACATATAATTGTTTTTTTCTTGATAAGAACTTCACTGAGCAATGCAACCCTGTTATATAATGCACTTAAGCACAAAATGCAGTTCACTTAAGATTATGTCCTTGTAAGCCTCGGCATTCTTCGAAATGTACTTTAGGACATTATTTTACATTTATATTTCATCTGTTTTATTTTCTAATTCTGCTTTCATCTGATTCTTTTCTTATATGAGTAGAGTTGGTTATGTTTTGCAAGCCCAGTGACATTTTGCCCAAAGGGAGCTTTTATTGTCATCAGTCTTGTGACGTTAGTGATATCAGGAAGCATTGTCATGTCAGTGATAACAAGGTTGACTGTCTGTGCATTTGGGCAAAACTGACCCCTATCCCCGTGGTCCTCACCTTCAAAGCCCTCCATGGACTTGCTCCCCCCTTACTTCTGCGACCTCCTAACCCCCTACCAATCTGCCCGCTCCCTCCGCTCAGCAGGCTCCGGCCTGCTTCATGTCCCCCGCCTCGCCCGCCCCACCATTGGTGGGCAGGCTTTCAACCACTCTGCCCCCACCCTCTGGAACTCCATCCCACAGTCCCTCAGCCTCGCCCCCTCCTTTGCCTCCTTCAAGACCCTCCTCTTTGACCGTGCTTTTGATCACCCTGCCCTCCACCCTCCCCGATTCCAACCCTCAGCTTGGGTCTGAAACATTGATTGTCCAGTGGCTTGGGATGTCTTCCTGACATGAAAAGTGCTGTACAAATGTAATTTTGTTGTTGTGGTAATACCAGCATTGCACACTAAGTTGCTGAAACGAAATTTCAGCTAACCATTCCTTGCTGCTTTACATTTTCTTCCTTTTTATGTATTTCTATGTATTTTTCGTTATTCTTGATCTCTTTTGACCATATGTGGTCCAAACACTTTTTTTCAAAGAAAATAATTTCTTTCATATTCTTCAAAATGTCTTATGGTTTGTTTTATTGCAACTATTTTTATTGTAACTTTATTTTTTAGTTCTGCTTTCCTCTCTGATTCTTCTATTACAGCTCCATTGCATGTTCTGCCAAGAATAAAAATAATAATAATCCTTCCATTTGATAACAACAACATGTATTTACATAGCGCCCCTCACTCAGGGTTGCGTCCCAAATATGCATCTGATGAACATCTATGTTTCTTCCTTTTAGAATGATCAGCTAAAAGTTACTACTCCAAAACGAAGGGTTGTGTGTGTTATGGCACTACTGGCATTTATGGTGATCAGCTATGGTCCTGCAAAGTGAGTGTTAAAATTTACTATTTTTCCAAATGTGGTATTTTAACTGGCAGAGCTGTTTCACTGAATAACTATCATTTTTGGAGTCTAAATTGCTTAATAGTCATTTTTCTTCTTACTATTTCAACTCCAAATAACTCCCAGCCCAGATTAATACATGGGCTATTCTCCCAGCAGGGAGTAAAATGAGATGAATTGTTTGGTGATGCAACGTCAAATCAAGTTAACCCTTAATGGTGGTCTCAGTAGTCTAGTTCCTGAGCCTTGTGGGTCTCCACTACTCCAGGGCACTGCTAATGAGAGACCCATCCGGCCTGCCTCATCAGCAGGACCTGGAGAGGCAGACGTGAGTCAATGGACAACAGTGGAAGGATTTGTCCCACTTGGCTCCAGTTACCTCTGCGAGCCAAAGCCCCAATGGATAAGGTGGTCCTAACTAAACAAACAAGAGAGGAATTTTTTTGGGGGACAATGGCAGTGAAACACGATCATTCCCATAAACATGGTAATCACCTGTGGGATATATTGCAATCTGAATGGGCAATGTGCTTCCCTCAGAAAATACCGGCTAATTGGAGCCCCTTTAATGGAGACCTTCTTGGTTCAGTTATGTCTCATTGTAACCCTTCACCTCAAGAGGAGGAGCAGGAAAATGTGAATACGTCATTGAATTCACGATTCCATCAATGTAGAATCACACTGTGTTCTGTATGTGTGTATAATACATATAAATAAATATGTAATATGCTGGCGTAGGAATTGATGTAAATATTCATGTTGGCAAATAAACTGGAAACAGTAGTGTCTGCTGATTATTATGCTTTTTCAGCTTCATTTAATTATAAACTTCCTTTTTCCAATGTATGAATCACAAGCTGTAAAGTGCCAATAGCTGCAGGCATCACACAAACTAGCATTTTAGTCTTTGAGGTATATTGTAATTATTTGACATGACATTCACACATGTTGATCAGTTCCATTGATTTCAGTAGTCAGATATAAAGAGGAATTCTGAATTTCTAGTCTCTTTCCATAGACACATTCTCTTACTAGATGCTAGGGTGTCAGACCATAGACCTAACTTCAGTATAAAACACTGAATACTCTTAACAAATATCTCCCTCTTCCAGCTTTATGTATGGTTCCTGCATTAAATTAACTCAGGGCACATCAGAATATGATTGCAAAGATACCCACAATTTGATTCACACACTGGCAATCACTTAAAAAGAACAACAAGGCAATAGAGGGAACATTGGCTTCAGCAAGTAATCCATTGGGGGAAGCACAGGGCTTCACCTTCTTGCTAGAAATAGATATAGATATAACAGATATAGTAATTCACTCTGTATGGTTTTGAGGAACCATAGATTTGTGAGGTATGGTTGTGCACATTATGGAACACTGAGCAGTATGGGGAAACTTTAAAAAGTTGTCCTATCCTGTATAACTATTTTAGTAAATTACCAGGATTAGACTTTCAGTGATGCCGCTTTTACTATTGGGAATTTAAGATGAAGCACTAAATTCTATTGTGCAGGACACCACTAAAGTCAAAAGACGCAGACGAGAAGTGGTAGTCGGATGGTTTTGAGCTGAGACTTTGAATACCTGTGGACTTTAAAGGAAGGAATGAAGACTGAGGGGATTTAAGACTTCCATAGTTTGGGAGCAATTGCAATGGAGTAAATTGGAGTTGGAGATGAAACCAATATTATGAAATTAAAAGTTAGGGAAGAGGAAAGATGTAGAAATATTTATTTGTACCTTGCGAGGCCTACAAATTACACATAATTTTACAGTATGTCCTGTGAACTGCTTTGGGACATCCTTCTGATGTGAAAGGCATGTGATCTATATGTATACAATGTATATAGATTATTAAGTTCAGAGGAGTAATGATTATAATAAATGAATAAAATGTATGAAAGGTTTTGAGGATCAGGGTTGAGATAATGGAACCGACCCAGATAAGACGATGGACTTTTGTGTTGTTTTATCCTGCATTTACAATGTAACATGCTGTGCCACCAAGTGGAAGGTTGCGGATTTGTGCTTACACTTCCGTTTAAACACTAGTTTTGGGGATGGAGCCAAACAGAGGTCTGAGCTTCCCAAAGAAGGGCAGGAATATCTGAGCAGTTTGCTTTCAATCGTCCTTCTGTACAGAGCAGTTCTGTACAATACAATTAGAACACAACATAGCATAAAGACGAGAGTGATGGGTGAAGTTTTTTTTGAATGACCATATATGTGATTTTAAATTAATTTTATAAACTAGCTGACCAAAATCATCCTAAAAATTGAGAAGAGACTTTGCATCAAATTTAGAAATCTTGAATGAGAAAAATCCATTTGTTCCTTGTTTAGTAGTATCATGTTTAGTTTTTCAAAATTAAACCTTTTTAAAAAAAGATTTCAAATTCTTTGGATACTTTAAATAGAAAAAAAATATTAATAATCCTTACGTTTGGTATAGGCTCTTTCTCATCGAGGGACATCCCAAAGTGCTTCACAGCATATACTGTAAAGTGCATTTATTGAAAACTATTTTAAGAAGAACATTTAGAAGTGAAATGTTGGAAATCCGTTGGTTACTTAACTTTTTCAATGAGCAAAGTGAAGTAATATCCAAACTAAGATGTTGCAACTGTCCTGGTTGTTATCTCAGCCCATTGAATCCGATTGTTTTCCCATCTCTTTCTGTGTAGAAATAAATATAACCCCATATAAAAGTCAAAAATGTTAGGAAAAGTAGGTTCTCGTCTCATCTGTGGCTGCATATACTAATTTAATTTACTTTTGTTGTTTGGTTGCATAATGGTTGCTAAGAGAATCTTTGGATATTCTGCCCTGAGCTGTGAAATGGAAACAGCTGTTGGAGCTTTAACTGTCTGCTACATCTTACAGGGCAGACATGATAAATAGTAACAGTACTGAAAAGAAATTCAGTATTTCAAAGGGTTAAATGGCTCAAACAACAGTTTAACCAAAGGTTATTGCATCTTGAGAACCAAAGTAATTGGTTATTTTTTCTTCCCTGCTTTTCTAGTTTTGGATCATAAATTATACTTATTCTTAATGTGGAAAATGTTGTGTATTTTTGCAGTTTTAATCCAATTATTCAGGTTTGTGTAAATTACGCTAGTCATGTGCAGTTCAGTATTACGAACGTGATGTTTATACATACATTTAAAACGGCAGATATAAAATAAACATTTTACAATTGAGCTGATTTGGCAATAGGGCCTGGAATTATTGCTGTGTTACACTGAAAGGTTTGAGTCAACAAACATTTGTGGTGCATTTTCAGCTTCTCCCTCATCAAATTCTATTTCAGTCCATAAAATGCATCCGACTCCTAATTTTACTTTCTTTATGTAGCACCTTGAATTTATCTGTATTGAACTTCATTTACTAGTCATCGACTATTGTACCATAGCCAATCAAGCTCCCTTTGTAAGATCTTTGCTGCCTCCTCTGATTCCATATTTGGTTCCTAGCTTTGTGTGTTCTGCATTTTTTTTGTAAAATATGGACTATTTCCAGATTAATGACGAGATGTTTCCATTTGTTTTCTGCTAAATTTCCTAGTTATTCTTGAGAATAATAATTACTTGCCATCCCCACTCATCCATCTTCTCTTTCAATAAATGGCATGACCAACTAGGGAGTTCTGCCGGTCGCTGCATCTTTAGTAATAATTTTCCTGCTCTTTGGTTTATATTCCTAGATCGTTTACTAATTCCTTATTGATCCCATGATCGCTCATTGAAGCCGTGATCTGAATCTTAATATGAGCCACATTTTCATCATCCATCACTTGTATTTTCAATAGTTCCAATTATTTTTTTTATGCACAAACCACCTTTTGTGATGCTGCTTTGACTTAGATTAATTACTTTCAAACTTCTCAAATGCACTTAAATATGCACCCTATAATAAAGACCATATAACTATGGTCATTGTCAGGACAGCACCCCTACTTTTTTTTAAAAACGGTTGGAGTTATATTACCAGTTGTCCATTCATCTGGTACCACGTTTTTCACAATGAGCTGTGAAACATTTCCTGCCCAGCGCCACCATCTGTTTCTTTCATCATTTTTCATGTTCTTTTGGATGCATTCCATTTTATCTGGGTGAATTGTGAATATTCAGGTATTCCAGATTTTTTAGTTCGTTATTGACCTCGCTTTCTCTATAAGCACCCCATACTTGCTTAATGCTGCCCACTGCACTATAATCGTGAGTGTAATGTGTCAACTTCAAGGGGAGGTTTTAATGAAGACCAAAACAATGGAAAGAAATGCTATTTTTCCAAAATATTGTTCCTAAATAGTCTGGACATAGTCCATGTTGTTATTGACTTTAGTGCATTTCTTCAAACCCCTCCTCCATAATTTTTTCCTATTAAGGTTACTGTCAGGCTCTGTGGTTAAAAAATATTTGTGGGTTTAGTTGCCAGTTTTATTACCAAATCTTTCTTCATTTTCTTTACATTTCAAGTCTTCAGTGCCTTTCAATTCAATATTAAAACATATTGCACTTACAAATGCCTGGATGCATCAGTTGCGATTGAGTCCATGACAGTGCAAATTGAATGTGTTTTGTTGGAAGCCATTGACTCAATGGAGCTAAAATGGCCATTACTCTTGAACAGTAAAAGTTTAACGTTGCAGAGAGTTAGTGATTTTTTTTCTTCTATTGCTAACATGAATGAATTATCTTTATTTGACCATTTTTTAAAAAATAAATTGCTTTCCAACACTTCACAGCATTCCATCCTTCAAGCCAAATGAACAGCAACTGGAGTATTGGTTAGTGTCTTGGTGTTAATGATACCCTCAGGATAAAAGTCGTAACAAGGTTCCAAAATCTAATTTTTTTAAATTTATTTTGTTCTTTTAAAAGTGAAGTCGTGATCACAGCATGCAGTGGGCAAATCCTCTGCCCCTGCACACTCAAAGACCTGGTTGTTAGTTGATTGGCAGGTCACTTTTCTAGGGGTAATAATTCTTTCAAAAAAATATATTTTTTTAAATAATCATTTGGTCACTCAATCCACAAATGTTTGTGGGACACTGCTGTGCGCAATTGGCTGCCGCATTTATATATATATATAATTTATAAATATAGTCAATTCCCTTTACTATGAAGCAATTTAAGGCGTCTCGAAGATGTATTAAGGCGCTTTATCAAATGCATGGATTATTACAATAAAATAGCTCCCTGTTAATGTGATGCGTGTAGTGTGGGTGGTCTTACAGTAAGAAACTGAGAGAAGGTTGATGATCGGAGGAGAAAGCAGAGATTGCTTTTACCATCTGTTTGGGACAGATTTCCTCAATGTTTTAACAACTGGTCAATTGGCAGATCATTTTGCTACTTTGATTTCTCTGGTTCACTATACCTCCTGATAGCGGAAGAGAGAGCACACATGCCTTTTGTTGATGCATTGACAGACCTTTCCCAGTGTAAAAAAAACCTCTTGATTTTGAAAATGGAAATCCCTTACAATGAGGTTGTTGAGAAATTATTACATTTGGATTGCTTTGTGAATCTTTCATGGAATTTCTATTAGCCAGGATTCACCTAATAATAATCTTTGAAGTTGATAAAGCGTTTTAACACATTGTCGAGGTATCTCAAAGATATTCACAGGATTTGACTTTTTTCGTGAATGGGGCAGCCTGTTTGCACCCAGCAGTGTCGTACGTGGCCACAAAGTGAATGATCAATTTTATCTAGTTCCACGCCAGGAGAAACTCCTTTTTCAAAAAGTGCCAAGATGTCTTTCACATCCACCTGAACAGGAAGAAGGGACCTCAGTTTAACATCTCACCAGAAGAACAGCACCTTCAACAATGCAGCAACACTGCATTTGAGTGTCAACCAAGACCTGACATGAGCCCACAACTTTCTGACTGAGGCAAGAGTACCATTGAGCTAGTGAGCCAATGACAATATTATTGGTATTGCAGAAATATAACTGGACGTGGAAGGTGTTTGAGATGCAGTTGAGAGGACACAAAATGTTTGACAAAGATAGATGTGAATTGCAGTTTAGGAGTTGGAATGGCATGACAGCTGTTGAAGAGGGTGGATTAACAGCAGAAGGAGAAACACCGTAAATAATCTGGAGAGAAATTAATAACAGGCAACAAAAAAATTGACAACTGCTATTGATCCCAATCTTGCTCAGTGGACAGATGGAGACCTTTGGAGGCAAGGAAGAGAGGCAGAAAATTATTAATCCTGATAATTTTCCAGACAAAGTGATCAGACGAGGGACTGCTGGAAAGTACAAGGAGTTTAGTAGAGTTGATGAGTTACTGCTTAATGGGTCACTGCAGTTTACAGACACTGTCTGGATACCTTGCTGGCATGAGTAGATAGATGTATGTAATCATTAATCAAAGACTTGTTTGAGAGAGTAAATGTTTAGTTTCAGCTATGGTTTGCCAGAAGCAATTGAAAAGGTATCAACTGTTGTTGAAAAATTGGAGAGTTACACAAAGAACATAAAATTGAGTGTACACATATGTTCATCAATACTCCAGCCAACAATGTTAAAAGGTTGCGTTCCAAGATAAAGCAGAATTTTTTATTACCATGTATTTCTGTTTTGGATGGTGATAAACCTCTCATATGTTAGTTTTCTCATTTTATTTCTTACTAGCTGTACCTGTTGCAGCTTCATTTGCAATCAAAGGATCCAACATGGAATGTAGATTGTGACACAGTCAGACATTTCATCTTTATGTATCCTCATCTGGGAGGACTCCTGTGGGAGGACTCAGTGGAAGGACTCAACGCTTAAAAATGTAATTTTGTTGTTGCCGCGAGCTTAGCTTCGTCTGTGTTCTTTATTCTAGTTCCTGCCGCTTGGCTACGTGTGTGCTCTGACGCGCGATGCCACAGTGCCACTTTGACTCGGCAGCCTCCAGGTGTAACCGCAGCGAAAATCGCAAAACTAAAAATAACTCATGAACGCTAGAAGATACCTGAAAACAATATGTCCATGTCACTCTCAAATACAATACCTTTCCGATGAAGTATAAATCATGTCTCTACGTCAATCGGTTATTGCGATTCTTCTTGAAGCGCAAACAGACATTGTTATTTTATTAGTAGAGAAGAAGTTTTACGGCATTCATAGTGTTTCTTTTTACTAGAGTCTGGATTCAGTTGCACAACACCAAACTTATTTACTTGATATTTTTTCTTGGAAAGTCACCTGGTCAGTATTTTTCAAGGTTCAGGATGAACGAAAAGGTTGAGTTGAACCTGTGCTTGCAGCTTAATGCTGTCACCAAATGAAACATCCATTCTTGAGTGCTAACATGGCTCCCCATAACAAACACGTGTAACCAAAAAAGGATAATATCCATAAATGTTTGAAAACCTTTAAAAGCTAGGATATATGTTGATTATATAAGTTGATTTAATTCCATATGTTTTCTTTTCAGCATATGGGACCAAGATTTCAGTTCATTGAAGTCCACTGGTAGCACGAGCTCCCACAGCAGACATCTATTGGGATTCTCTGAAGAAAATGAGGCTGCAAGTTTTCAGGAAACAGCTGAGAAATCCATTGAAGAGAACAACTACAGGTAACCTGCCTTCACCATACCCAGGGTACAATATCTTTGTTGGAATTTTCCAAACATTATTCCAGCCTCACACTATTTTGTGTTCCTTTCATAAAAATATTCTGGGTCAGAATCCATAGCTCACAAAGCAACACTTGCCTCTCTATATAAATATTGCTGATTATATTTGCATTAGTCTAGGTTTGGGGATACAATAGGAAATGGCATTTGCTGCAAATTTGACCTCCTGGCCTCTGCCCTATCCTTGATTGACCCCGCTCCTAATTGTGCTCGCACCTTCATTGTGGAGTCTCACTTATAAGCTACCTTTTGCTGGTATGGGTGTAAGAGATGTTTCATGTGTTGACATCTATTCAGGCAAATGGTAAATTCTTTGGAATGCAATTTGTCTCATTTTTTGACAGTCGAGTTGGTAATATGTGCTATCAGACCATGAACTGATGGGTTTCTAATATTAATAATAATAATCCTTGAATTTGATATAGCACCTTATCATGTGTTTGAGACATCTCAAAGCCCTTCATAGAATATACTGTGAAGTGACATGTCTTTATATTTTGTAGGTAAAATGTGGCAGCCAATTGTGCACAGCAGTGTCCCACAAACAGTCGTGGATTGAGCGATCAAATTATTATTTATTTATTTATTTGAAGGAATTATTACCCTGGAAAAGCGATCTGCCAATCTATCAAAGGAAAAAAATGGGGTGTGTAATCACACTGTGTCAGTGACTCTGGCGAATCTGAAGTGTTTGGATTTTCTAAGTTGCCTTTTAAATACCTACAATTTATCTTTTTTAAGTAGATTTTACACCCACACCAACTGCACTGCGTTGGAGACGGTCATCTTCTTAGTTTTTTGTAATGCACGGAAAACAGGTGGTTTACTCGGCACACAAAAAATACTCAGCTGTACAGACCAGAAGATGCAGATTCAAATTCACACATGTGCAGAGTTAATTAATCTCATCGTCAGTCTGGATTTCAGGGCAGTATTTTGTAGGTTGACTGTCCACATATGTTAATGCATTTTGTAAAAGATAGGCAAGAAGGTTAAATATATAGTTTTGAAAGCCTGCGTTCATTGTACCGAAACGTCGTCTGTATATTGCATTATCTTCAGAAATCATAATTCTAACCTTCAGCCATGCCAAAATTCACAAACTAAAAATTAAACTCTGAACTTTTGAGACTCATTTCATAAACAGCTTGATGCTGCAGTGGGAGGGTGGTAGAATGGATGTTCTAAAGGGATGAGAATGTGGAGTCCTGTAGCTCAGTGGTTAGAGCACTCGCCTTGCAAGTGAGACACCTGAGTTCAATTCCCGGCAGGTCAGGGCGAAACCGTGGGCAAGTTTCCTTATTCCACACACCTAATAATAATCCCTCCAAAACAAAAACAATAATAAATTGGTCATTTTCAATCTACGACTGTTTGTGGGACACAGCTGTGCGCAATTGGCTGCCGCGTTTCGCCCACAAATATACAGTCACTTCACTTTACAGTCTATTCTGTGAAGCGCTTTGAGATGTCGAAGACGTTATTATGAGATTAGATGGACTGAAGGGCTTTTTTCATCCAAACCGATCTTGTGACAATCTTCCTCAATAATTTTGAACTTGTTTCTAAAACTAATATCAGCATTTTGAACAAATCCAACCCATTACATTTGGCAGGGTTTCTCACACCTAGGATAGCTCTTACCATTTTTTATTTTTCTGTAAAAAATTGTTCTGTCACTAATTCTCCTGACTTGTAAGCTGATAAGTTATCACTACTGCTTGTGCTCTTAAATAAGTAGTATAGAGAGCTCAGTTTGTTGGCTTTGCTCTTTCTCTGTTGCTTCTGAACAGACAAGAATGGGATTATTATCTTGCATGAGCTAAAATAATATGCAGGAATCAAACCAGGGGATGTATTTAATGTTCAGTACTTGAGCAGGCTGCAATGACTACTCGCTATTTGCTGTTCAAAGACTGAACTGTGTTTGCAATGTAGAAAATTTTAAACTTCTTTCAGTTTGGGTCTGTTAAACTGCGCCTTCCCATATCCAGAAGAAACTTCAGTCAGATCTAAATGTTGTACTTTTTTTTAAAACCTGTAAATGAAAACTCCAGATCAGTTAGCTGTGGCTTTAAGAGCAAAGATGGTATGAAACCAATGTAGTTTTTCCCAGATCTGAATTCTCTGGAGATTAGAGTATTTCTAGCTCCTGAGAAAACCTCTCTGGCAGCCAACCAACCAAACCATAAACCTTAAGAAAACTGTAATTGAATATGGAGCTTCTTAGAAAAAATTTTAGTTCATGAAAAGAGATTTCAAAATAGAATCAGGTCTTCGGAAAATATTTTAAGCACTTTACAATGCTTTATGTGTGTTGGCATTGCAAGGTAACATGCCCTTTTTTTAATATATATATATATATAAAAAGAGAACTTACCAAATGTAACCTGTGTTTAGCTGAACCTGAGACAATTCATTGGTAGGCAGAGATCAGTTTTGGTATTCTATTTTATGAAGATGATAATTTAGTTGTCTTTGTTCTAAGTTGACAATCTTGTATTCTTTCGCAAATTGAAATGTTGAGAGCTATTTCGATTTTGCAGACAGAAGGGAAAATCACAACTTTGTTTCTTCCTGATTCTTGGTGAAATTTAATCTGTCAGCGGAAAGAAGCCAGTCATTTTTACTTAATTTAGCCTGAAAAATCAATATTGGCTATGTCAGTTACATTATCCACAGGCTCTTTGATTGCGGTGGACATCATGGCTGATCCAGGTTCTGTCTGCCCAACATCCACACTTGCATCCTTTCTAACAGCAATTAATCTTAGAATCACAACTGACTTTGAACTTGATGCCAGTTATAATGCCCCTTTTCTGTCCTGGCTGAGTTGAGGTAACTGAACTCAAGCCTTGGAATCAAGCCTAGAAATGCCCTTGCCTCAATGATTTACTACCATACCGCACTTCATCCCGACTGAACAAAATACCGAATTTGTGTTCAGCCAACGAAACCCTTCAAATGCACAATTAGAAGTGAGATTTTTTTGTTTTTTTTCATGAACTGTAATTAATTCAGTCATTGCTAAAGACTCCTTTGACATTGTGAAATAGAATAAATCCAAAGAACTTTACTGTTCCTTCTGCTCATAACACTGTGATGTGCAGTACATGAGTTAACATGCAAAGGAATCTATAAACTTTGTATTGTTCTGTATGTTAATTGCTAAGCAAATTATTTAGATCTTGGAAAATATTAGTTACCAAGTCACCTTGGAGTGTGTGGCCAAAGGCACAAGGTCTTGAGACGGGCATTGAAGGAGGTGAGGGATGGGGCGAAGCAGAGGGATTCAGGGATGGAGTTCCAGAGGGTTGGAGCAGAAAAGCTGATGGCCCGACCTCCAATGGTGGCCAGAGCGGGGGACATGGAGCAGGCCAGTGCCCGTCGAACAGAGGGAGCAGAAAGGCTGGTTTGGTATTGAGATCGCAGAGTTAGGGAGGAGCAAGGCCCTGGAGGGCTTTAAAATTCAAGATTTAATTGAAGGTTTTCCTACCATGTATGCTTTCCTATGGAAAGGGGAAGAGAAGACTAACAATCAAATAATTATTAGTCCCTGTTACAGACCATTAACAGTTTCTCTGCTCTGCACAATCAGTATTTATTAGTTTTGTTTACTGTATGAGTTGTGAAGAGATTGGTCAGAACATTTTTCAATTCTGTATTATTTTGGAATCTATTTTGGCTCATTGACCATTGCTGATCAAGCACATCTTGAAATGGATTGATGACTTGTAGATGGATTTTCCTTGCAGACAAATGGGCATCTGAAGATAATGAAGAGTTGGAATCTGAAGTCTTCTCATGTTGTAACATTGATGTACTATATCACTAGTGCTTCCTTTCTTCACTGCATGACATTAAAAATGATGTGTTTTCAGTGTTGATACATTTCACTTAACATTAGAGACTTCTGGTATATTTTGTTCAGCTTTGTTTTCTTTCCAGTCATTGTCTCCAGATTCATAACTTGGCCAACATGGCAGAATTAGTTCTGGCTAAATTCTTTACTTCAAACATTTTTTTGCTAGCGTTTTATTGGCTGACGCAAGAGCACTGCCTGCAGATATTTGGAAGGCTGTTGCCTTGCCACATTGAAATTTTTTTTTCAATTTTTCCCAAAGTTTTGATATCAAGACAAAGGATTTAGTTGCACTTCTTTGGATGCTGAACCAACTCTGATTTTGTTTTTGTGTTGTCTTCATATCATCCTAGACACGTCTGTGGCAAAACTGATGATGTCAGGACTTTTGTGTTAATACCAATATTAATAACAACAACTTGGATTTATATAGCGCCCTCCACACCGGACGGCATCTCAGAGTGCTTTTAATAATAATCATTGCATTTGATATATTGCCTTATGTCGAGATGTCTCAAAGCGTTTCACAGGAGTTACTGTGAAGTATAGTGACTCTATTTTGTGGGTGAAACACAGCAGCCAATTGATCACATGTATATGATGTACATATGTATAATATCCATGTATTATTTATATAATCACATATGGTATACGTACTGTAACTCACATTTTATCATAAGTATATGAATTTGTGTACCCTGAGTTCCATATTTAATTTCACATACTGAACATTTCTTGTTTCCGGTTGATTTTCATGAACCTGGCTCTCGACCCTTTAATTTTAGCCAAAAGGGAATTATATTCTAAATCAATGATTTATACTTGTATCTTTCAGGAATGGAATTTCATTTTCAGACAAGAAAGATCTCATGGTGGTAAGAAAGGAACCTCTTCTGTTCGTCCAAAGAGCGTGTCAGCCACAGGTCAATGGGACTGAATCACTTCGGTTAGTAAAAGACAGCTAAAAGTCTTCAAATGCTCCATCTGACAGATGCACATAAAGCTGATTACAACTTGTACTTGGGGGATGAAGCATGCAGGTTGAGAGGAGATTTAATAGAGTTGTTCAAAATTATGAGGCTTTTTTGATAGAGTAAATAGGAAGAAGCTGTTTCCTCTGTCGGGTGGGTCGATAACCAGAGGATACAGATTTAAGATGATCAGCAAAAGAACCAGCAGGGAGATGAGGAGAATTTTTTTTTACCCAGTAAGTTGTTACGATCTGGAATGCACTGCTGAAAGGGTGGTGAAAGTGGATTTGATTTTCAAAAGGGAATTGGATAGGTACTTGAAAAGGAAAACATTCACAGGGCTATGTGGTAAGAGCAGGGGAGTGGGACTAGTTGGATAGCTCTTTCAAAGAGCCATCACAAGCACTTTGAGCCGAATGGCCTCCTTCTGTGCTGTAAGATTCTGAGATTCTGAAATTGTTTATACACAGAGTAGTACTTTTAGCAAAATCTCCATAGAATTGGGGCCTGGAATGGGAGACGCTAGATCTTGTTAAACCTAAGGATTCTGTTAATTGTGGTCTTACCTGAGCAGATTGTGGTACGCCCTAAACCCAATTTCCAGATATGATTGTGGAGGAGAGAGGTTGGCGGAAATCTATGATTGTTTTTAAAATCATGAATAGGTTTGGTAGGATAAAGAGAAAAAACTTTTCCACTAATTGGTGAGTCCATAACAAAGGGGTGGGAGGATAAGTTTGCAGATTTGTTTTACACCGAATTGTAGAAATATAACATACTTTACCACAAAGAGCTGTTAGCCGATTCTATTTTGAACATGAATAGGATACAACATTTGTGAAAAACAGTTTGGGGAGACAATAGGTGAATAGGGTGCATAGCGAGTGTGAGATCTGGCGCAAGTGTAAACATGATTGGTAGAGTTTTCCATGGTTTGTGCAATTTCAATCCAGAAACATTAGTGCTACAGAGATTTTGAAGTTTCTTTTTGTTTATTTTATTGTAGACTTGCAGACGAACTCCGTGGGTGGGTCCATCGGCACGAAGTAGTAAGAGTTAAGTCAAGGAAGGGGTCCAGGATGTACCACAAGACTCAGACAGGATCGGTATGTGCTTCTTGTTCACTCTTTTTAGTAGAAAACTGAGAATATCTCACATCAAACATAGTTGAAACCCTTTTCTATGCAGTCATCACCTCCTGGTGGGTATATCCAGTGACCTCCTCACCGGTCTCCCCAACTCCCCAATTTATAAAATCCAATTCATTCAAAACGTTGCCACCTTTATCCTCCTCCGCACCAAACCCATCACCACAATCCTTGCCAGGCTCCATTGACTCCCTATTCCACAACAGATCAATTTCAAAATCCTCACACTCGCATGCAAACCACTTATGCCCCAGCATACCTCTCTGACTTGCTTGCACCCACTCCTCTATCTGCCTCTTTCGCTCAGCTGACTCTAGCCTCCTGATTGTCCCTCGTCCCCTCTTCTCCACCATCAGTAGCCATGCTTTCAGCCACTATGCCCTGAGAACTCTGAGCCTCAATCCTTTTGCTTTGCGCTCTCTTTGCCCATTTTCAAATCATATGAAGACCATTTCTCTTCGACCATGCACACAGTCACCTCTCCTCTCCCTGGCTCAAGGCCTGCCACTGTTGATCGCTCCGAGACGCCAGCTCACACAAAGACCCTATATGAATGCTACTTTTGAGATTTATGCTGTGAATCTTGTGTTGGTGTCAGACGTAAAGAATTTCACTTTGACCATAATGCACATTAGTGGTTTAAAAATACCCCCTTAAAGATTTGATTTGTTTCAAATTCAGTCATTTTTAACTATGACTTCCAATCTCTTTCTATGTGAAGCAGATTACATAGGAGGACATTCAGCCCATTGAGTCTGTTCCAGCAGTTTATTAGATGTGCTGATGTGAATTAAAAGGAAAAGCTTTCTTTTATAATTTTTTTTAAAAGTATATTTTACAGAAAATTAAAAGCTTTCTTGGGTTAAAGAGCATTTACATTCCAACTCACATGGATGTAGCTTGTGGGGTGAAGGTATAATCCTGAGCTAATGTACAGTGTCCCAGACAGTAATTTCTATAAATTGACTAGGTGAAACCATTCATCTCTAATGATGGTATTTTGCCATAATTTGCTGTATACTTGTTTAATATGAATTATAGTCATGAAAAAGTGCATTGCTTATTTCAAGATGGTTTATCCTGCTGTTGAGTCTGAGTTTCAATTATCACATCACAATTTTCACGATTATGTGTGAATTGAATTTGCATAGTCTTTTTCTATTTTGTGTTGCAGTAAAGGGCACTACTGTGAAATTGGTAGTAATGGGACCTTTCATCATTAAAATATAACTATAATATTAATCCTTTATTATTTAATTTGCATATTCCATATTTCTGAACATTGTGTTCTTAAGATCCTGTTTTTGATCTTGCTTCCAATCTACTTCAATGTTTCTTGAGCCTCTGTCCCTCAGATTGAATGCTCATTGAAGGCCCAATTTTTTAAACATAATTAGAATTTGAGAGGAGGGGGAAGAAACTGAGAGATCACCTTCGTGTCTTTTGGTCCTGTTGGGATGTTGCTAGAGTTGACGAACTAAAAGAGTGCAGTTTACCTTTGCAAACACGGGCAAAATTCCTGCATCTTATCAGAGTGGTTGGTTTGTGATCAATTGTACTTTGAAGTATTCCAACAATATGCCAATATTGGATTGAGTTTGTCTTCTGGATGTTTCTGCAGTCGCTGGGGGTGGGGGAGGGGAGAGGTAGCTCAGTTCCAAGGAGACCCTGTCTACCTGTTCTCTCCTTTAAACTCTTCCCCTGGTGCCTAGGTTAAAGTGTCATAAGAATAGATTTTACAGCATAGGTTGTTGTTTACTACCCATTTTTTAAAAGATGTTGCTTTCATCATAGCAGCATGAAACTGTACCAGATGTTAAGCATTTCAATAACAAAGAACTGGTCATGACATTCCTAGGGTATATTGAAGGCTAACTTGATTTTCCAGGATCATAATGCCAGCTTGCCACTTTTAAAAGGTAACTCAAGGCTGTTATTACCAATGCTGCAAATCTTTCTGCCTTAATCAATATAATCTGTGCATAAAACCACTGTAGAATTTGATCAGTACCGCAGACAGCTGAATTGACTGTCATGTTTTGTTGATTTGTTACAGTTGCAGCATTTGAACAATTGCAGCACTTCATTCCAATCTTATCATCTGAATAAATTGTTAATTTCTTTCAAAACTGATTCAACTGCTTTGTAAGTCACTTGGAAGTCGTTGAACAATTGCATTAACTGAATCAAACCCAGGAAATTAGTACCAATTAGGAACAATTATATGAACACAAAGAAAAACACAAGAAAAGACTCTTAGCCTATTTCCTCCGAAGCCCAGGTCCAATTTTTCCACATTGGATTCTTTCCACCTTATTTAATCTACTGAGGGAAGCAACTACTGTAAGTAGCTTCCAAGAAGATGAATTTCTGTGAAATTTCTTGCTGGTGGGTTTATGATAGTTAAGTAATCCAGACAATTTGAATCTGACCAGATGCGTTCCTTAGATCAGTTGTTCACAGCCATCATTTGAACAGCACAGGAACCATCATGATCACTAATGTGATCAATAAATGGTTACAGGTTCAGGTTTGTGAAGGAAATTTTAGGACAAACACCAGAAGGTATTTCTGCGCACAGAAGGTGATCCACAGCTGGAATAAATTATCATAAAGAAAAGGTTGAGATCAGGAAGGAAGGTTGAGACCAGGTTATTGGGTTTATTTGAGAAATTGCTTGATGCTGAATAGGAAGGTTGGTATTTTGGAAGCTCAAATGGGAGCAAAGAGCCTTCTTTTTCCAAAACTCCATTGTGTTCATAAACCTCTGTTTTCGCTTTTGTTCTGTGCTTTCAATCCTGTTAAATCTTTAACTCTCTGTCATTTAAATAGAACTAATTGACCTTGGAGTTGCTTGTTTGGTGTATCACATGTTAATTTTGTCTTGCACCGTGTCAGCACGGTAAATGACGAGTCAGCTAACACCTCTAGTTCAGCTTCCTCCTCAGAGAATTCTGTCCCGTCCATGGATTACATGTGCCTCCTACTCTTGTCATTTCCTAAATACAGACCCTTACATTATCTATTTTATCTTGGTTTGTCACTGGTTAGTCAAGTACTCTGAAAGATCGTGGCTTTCTCTGATTTCTCCTAATTTGGAATTGGATGTATCTACCTTGCTCCGAGTTTGCAAATCAATTTATGGATAGAAGGAATTGGAGGTATCCTAGCACAGATCTCTGAGACACCTGACTGAATTCCTCCTCCTTCAAAGTTACAAAAAAAGCAATGGTTTATACTGCTAGCTGTTTTTTCCCTGGTTTCTTTGTCGTTCACTTTATTTGCCCAAGATCAGCAGGAGGAGCAGCACTCTTTCAATTAGCACAGTTGGACTGTGGCTTGCCCACATGCAGACTAAGTTTTTTTTACACATAGTAAAACATCAGAAAACACAGAGCACCTGTTCATAGCAACGATGAGTTCATGGTTTCCTGGTCAGAGCTCTAGCCTGTTAAGTTGCAATTTTTCTATTCATATGAAGAAAATATTGGAGAGTGTGCAATCGGTACTTAATAGTTGCATACATATCGATTCAGAAGCGCCTCAGAATAAAACCAAAGTAGATTGATTACACGGAAGGAAAACTACCTAGGACTCTTCGTTTCGAGGGGTGGGGGGGAGGTGTCTGGTTTTCAATTAATTGCTCCCTCCACCTCCCTCCACTCTAATACATTGTTTTTCTTATTGACGCCAAGAAGATAGCCAAGTTATCAGCCCTTTTCCAAACACCAATATCTGTAACTGGGTTTGAAGAGTGTCGAAATGTCCCATGATCACTTGCCCACCGGCATTCTATTCCCTCTTTGTGAGAAGTGCATAACCTACCTGCAGACAAGCTGGAGAAAAATAGCAATTAACTGTATCGGTCAGTTTCCAACCTCTCATTTTAGTTGCAGACTTTTGAGGGCACCCTCTGTAGTGATATAACACATTCCTTGCTTGTTGCAGTCTTTGGACACTGCACAAGAATTCTTGATTGCTTTATTGTTGGTCATTCTGCCAGTTGAATTTTTTCATAGTGTCCTCCTTGGCTTACACAGCTTAATCCAAAAGCATCCAGCCTCCTGTTTAGTGTCTTCACAGGTTTCAGCTTTCAGCATTGTCTGTAAATGTAAACTTAAATACCAAGCTCGTCCACTGCTTTGATCTTCACTAAGATGCATGTCCCCTCTGTCAGAGCGGTTCCAAGATCCGTTAACACACTTCCTGCTGGATATATAGACCATATGGAGGGGATACAGACAGTGTGCTCTCCCTTTCTCACTGCTTTGATCCTCTGTTACATTTTGAAAGAAACTGCAGGCTGTAGTATTTCAGAATCTTTCTATTTGTATCATTGAAAGCTTTATTATTTTTAAAAATCTAAATTTAAAATTAGCTTGATAAAGATGCGGGTTTCAAATCAGGCTAGTTAGATCTGAAACTTATGAAACTAACTGAAAAGGATTTTGTATCATCAAAACATTTGTCCCTCAAGAAATATACTTGTAATTTTGTAAATTCTATTTTTTTTCAGGGAACCACTCATGAATGTGAGGGCTTCCAGTACTGGGCATTGGCCCCACTTTGGCACTTCTTGCCACCTTTATCTGCATTGTGCCCTGGACTAGGTATAAAATAAAATACAATGTAAGACTTCTTCCACTATAACAACAATGTGTCTCAATCCTAAGCACAGACGAGGAGTTCCTATTGTACAAGTATGAATTTTTCTAGATCTCACACATAAATTATTCTTGTAGATTTTTTGACCACGACTGCCCCACTTGTATCAGATCCTTAAAGCCAGCAGAGAGCCTGGGAACTGCAATTACATTATTCTTGGCTGGTTTCATCCCCATATTCTAGAAATGAAATTTTGTGCTGAACTCACTGAATCATCCAGTTTTTAAATAGATTTTGTTTCATTTGCTTGCCTAAAACTGTCTGTAGGAGCAATAGATCTCCTGTCTGAGCTT